GCAATGATACCACACTCTGGCGGAATACTTGCTTATGTTGATTATCATTAATAATAACCTAAATTATTTTCTGAAAAGTCGTGTATTTTATCATATTTTATGTTGGCCACCGTTTTATAAAAGCAATAAGCCACTTGAGGCCGTGCGTTACAGTGATTTTATCACAGGGAAGTGGGTTTTACTCCGCTTCACATCGTGCCTAAGAACACATCCGTGATAAAGCTGCAGTAACCCACAGCCTCTCGTGGCTCATTGCTTTAGTATCCTTGCTCAGAAAAGCATATTGTGACATATTATGATGTAATTCGTTGCTCTGTTTAGTATCACTGAGCGTCTCTATTAATTACGTTCATTTAAAGCAGCTTTATGTGAGAATACTTTTTTGCTCTTGGGCTCCCTCTACAGTTGCAGAGTGTATTTCACTTTTACACCACTGTCGTAAATACAAACCGCGCTGTGAGCGCCCCCTTATGGACAGCTGCACACCTACATTTGCTGATGAGCTAAAGGAGGCGGAACCCGACTCCACTGTGCGTCACGGCATATGGACGCTACAGATTACACTCACGATTTCTGTTGTTGTGAGTGTAATCTGTAGCGTCCATATGCCTGCATGACATAAAGGGGAGTCAGATTTTGCCAGGGATTTGGAATTCAGCACAACACCGGCAAAGGCAGCATCAGCAGAGAAAGAACCATGTTGACCTACAAGGTAGAAAAACATCACAGGATTTTATTACAAACTTTCAAGGCCCATGTTAGCCTGAAACGGGGCTGAGGTTCGACGACTTTTAGCACCCGGAAAAACTACAAAACTCCATAAATAAGGGATGAGACGGATAAGTTTACAGCCTACGCAGTCTTTCATTAATAACACTGGCAGGGATGAACACTCTGCTGTCGGAGTTTCGCTGTTTCCCCGCTGGCCGTGAGACTGTCCTGTAAGGGTGGGAATCTCTAGGCACCTCACGATTTGATTCGATTACGATTCAGAGGCTGCGATGCGATTATAAAACGATTATCTTTTATCTATTACATTATCTATTATATTATTTTTTCTATACAGGATTTCTATTTTCTTACCGTGTGAGGACTGGGTACTTTTAAAGCAAAGTATCTGTAATGATCCATAATGAATTTACTTCCAATATCATTTATTAATAAAACAAATGGAAGTGGTTTTGGTCTCGTTGTAGAGAGTGGTGGGGTGTTGCTGTGTCAGTAAAATATCTTCAAGACTGGACGCTGCATCTCGGCTCCAAAGTGTGCAACATAGCGCGAAAGCCCTGCAGGTCACATAGCAACGCAGTCTCGCCTAGTTAGTTGCTAACGAAAAGGCAAAGAGAGATTTAAGACGAACATTTGGAGACGAATGGACTTATTTGTATTTATAAGCAGCGCAGTTGGTTTCCTGGTATGTTAAACCTGCAACGAGAGACTGTCAAACACTAAAAAGTTGCGAAGATGAAGTCGCTTCTCTTTCGAATTTTCCCGTTCCACCTTAAATAGTGCCGCCTTTATGTTCTGGCGCCTCAGTGAGCATTTAAGGTGGAACGGGAATATTCGAACAAGAAGCTGGAGAATGAGAAGCGACTTCAGCCTCGTAAATCAGTCGAACGTTGAGAGACATTTTACAAGAGACTGTTCTACTTCGGAGGAAAAGTTTCCTGGCGGAGATGCGAGGAAAATGGCTAAAGCTGAAGCTCAAAGCAGAGCGAAGTAAATCTGTGCTCTTGTTTATATTGTTTAGCCTATACTAGGACATCATCACATACTGAGACATACTGGACATTAAATGTTGTGGCTCCCAAGGTGGTTTGATTTTTGTTGAAAGGTCAAAATGGCTCTTCTTATCATTTGGGTTGTGACTCCTGACCTAACCTGGCTTTAATGCAGAGGGAGCCGATTTCTCACTCATCCAGTGGTGTTTTTGTTATGTGCCGCCACAGACTGTCCGGTGCGCTGCACTTCCGCACTTCCAAGTTCCTTTTGCACTCCGTCAACATTACGTTATAATTTTACATTTAGAAAATCGATGTTTGTCCACGTCCGCATCGCGATGCATCTAAGAATCGATTTACCCCTACTGTCCTGCACCCATTTATCTTTTAAGCTCTCGTCAGTGAGTTAAAGCCAGTCTGAGATTTACTCTTGTCTGATCTCTTGCTCAGTCACTCTCTCTTTTTTTCTTCTTCCCTTCCTCCGACAGTGTCTTTTCCGGTCTCTTCGTAGCCTCTGCCATGATGTCCATGCTGGGAATACCGAGCTTCTTCAAAGTTACATAGCACTATAGCAGGAGTTCCAGCCCGGAGTGGCAACGACAGAGACGCTTATCTTGTTGAAAGCAACCTTCAAAAAGCCCCACATGCCGCGATCAGACTGTCTGTAGGGCCAGTTGTTTCTCACTTATGGCTTGATACATCATCGTTTATTCAAAAAACCCTTTTCTGTTTTTTCTTTTTTTGCATTTCGGCTTAGCGATATTCTAACTTTTCCAGCTCGTCCTTGTGTAAAACTCTTACTGCAGTATTTGGGTGTTTTTCAAATTTCAGGCTTTTTACATTCAAGTTTTTGTTTTTTTTGCGCATTTTTAAAATTCACAAAAAAAACTGGTGGATGAAAAACCTGCTACTTTCCCTTTATTCCAGCTTCCATTCTTTTCAGGAGACTCACTTTCAGTTCCTCAAAGAATCTGCAGAAACACCTCCAAAGTTCAGTCTTAGAAGCTGGTTGATCATTTTCAAGTAATCAAACACATTCAGTGATATTGAGGTCTGGACTCTGGGGTGGTCAGTTCACCCAGAGAGCAAGCACATAGAGGTCCGCTGGCTTGATGAGGTGGCACCCAGCTGACTGTTTGCCACAGACTTTTATTTTGGGAAAAATAAACTTAGACAAATATTACACACAACTGAGAGAAATTAGACCAGGCCTGATAAATGAGTTTATTGAAGTTGTTGCTATTCCTGGGCTACATTTAAAGTATTTACTAAACTAATTTGCAAAGCATAACAAAAGAAATGAATGAATGAAAGTAAGTAAATTGGCCTGTGAGTGAAAAATGAGCAATAAAAAGTGGAATTTTGCCTAATATTCTGCTTAACCACCAGGAAAACACTGAGCAAAAAGCCAGCGGTCTGCCAGCTTTGCCTTCAGTGGCCCGCTGTCCTTTCTCCCTCTCTCAGTGAGGGCTTCTTGTCAGCCACAGCTTGTCAGTCTGTGAAAACATTTATTTCCATTAAAAATATTAATATTGGCCACATTTCCCACGTCCCTAATCTGGGATGTGCTATGGCGGCTAGCTGGCTTCGTCCTGTTCCGATGTCACAGTTTTCCTTCGAGTGCTCAGTTTTATATTTTTCACATTAGACGTTCAACAAGCAGTTCGCTTCTTTACGAGATGATTGGGCTTCCTGTGTCTCGGCCAATCAGGACACAAGAAAATGGTCCAGACTGTCCTGTTCAGCCAATTACGCAAGAGGAGACGGGGTCATTCCCAGTATGCTTTGTGCTGCATGCGAGGAGAAACGCAGCCTTATTATTTCCTCTGTCTCTGTGTGTGTGTGTGTGTCTCTGTGTGTGTGTGTGTGTGTGTGTGTGTGTGTGTGTGTGTGTGTGTGTGTGTGAGTGTGTGTGTGTGTGGGGTGTTCAGAAGGTGTGTTTGAACTTTTTTTCCCCGTGATTTTTCTCTCTCTTTCACACCCACGTGCAGAGAGAGAGAGAGAAGGAGGGAGAGAGAGAGAGAGAGAAGGAGAGAGAGAGAGAGAGAGATACAGAGAGAGAGAGAGAGAGAGAGAATCAGTGAGAGGAGACAGAGAGAGTAAGAGTGAAAGAATGAGGAGAGAAAAAGTGAGAAGAAAGAGAGAGAGACAAAGAGAGAGAGAGAGAGCCAAAGAGAGAGAAGAGAGAGGGAGTGAGTGGAGAGAGAGAGAGAGAGAGAGAGAGCAAAGGAAGAGATGTGATCTACCACCTATTGTTTTATTAAAGCAGTGCTTTTAGTTCTAGAACCAACACTTTCAGATCCAGGGCTGATTCCAGAGCTGGTTTTAGAACACACAGAGGATTCTACACTCCGGTTCAGGGCTGATTCTAGAGCACACTCGGCCCAGAACCGGTTCTAGAACACATTTGGATCCAGAACTGGTTCAAGAAAGCACTAGGGGATTCTAGAACAAATTCAGGTCCAGTGCTTGTTTTATAACACATTCAGGAGAGGATTCTCGAACATATTCAGTTCCAGATATAATTCAAGAACAGATTCTGGTTCTGGAGCACGCTAGGTCTCAGAGATAATTCTAGAACAAACAAAGTTCCAGACAGAATTCTAGGACATACTCAGTTCCATAGTGGTTTATAGATCAGTTCCAGAGAGAATTCTAGAACAAAACCCAGATCCAGAGAGAATTCTAGGACACACTCGGTTCCAGAGAGCTTTCTAGATCAGTTCCAGAGAGAATTCTAGGACAAACCAAGTTTCAGAAAGAATTCTAGAACAAACCCAGTTCCAGAGAGAATTCTAGGACACGCTCATTTCCAAGGATTATTTCTAACTATTAAAGTAATTTTTACTAATTATCTCTCCCTCTCTCCCTCTCTTTCTCTCTCTCTCTCTCTCTCTCCCCCTCCAGGACTACATCGTGTCTCTGATCGCGCCCGCCCAGCGGCACCGCGAGCGCCTGACCCTGTGGCTGCAGCGGCGCCTGCACTCCCTCCGCGCCGCCATCGAGTACGAGAGCTGTGCGGTGCTGCAGGTGAGGGACCATGCGCTGGAGTTGCAGGGCGGCCCCGCCCAGGTGACGGCCGCATGCGCCATGCTGCAGCGCCTCAAGATGGAGCACCGTGGATGGTGCCGTGACCCGCAACCCGCACCTTCGCCCACCGGCCACGCCTCGCCAGAGGAGGAGGAGGAAGAGGAGGAGGACGACGAAGGAGAGGAAGAGGGCAGCAGCTCAGAGAGCGAAGGAGAGGCAAGGTCGCGGAGCGGGAGTTCGGGAGGAGGAGCAGGGGGCGGAGCCGCAGAAACCGGAGGAGGAAGGAAACGAGAGCCACTAATGGCCACGAAACCGCACCGCCAACTCTGCCGATCGCCGTGCTTGGACCGTCCCAGTTTCAGCCAGAGCAGCACCCTACAGGAGCTACGGGCCGAAGACGCACGCTCAGACTCCGCCCACAGAATGCCCCCTACCTCCACAGACCACGCCTCGTTGCAACAGATGAGCAGTGAAAGCAGAGACTACCAAACCAAAATGGAGTTTGCGCTAAAGCTAGGCTATTCCGGAGAGCAAGTGGAGTCCGTCTTGAGCAAACTAGGTCCCAGCGCTCTAATCAACGATGTCCTGGCCGAACTCGTCCGTCTCGGAAACAAAGGGGAGCTGGAGGCCCAGGCGCCAGTCAGTTCGGCTGGTTTAGCACCTCGAGGTCCCGGGGCCAAGGAGGCGGTCAGTCCAGAGGCTTCACTTGAAGAGGAGACGACAGACACGTACGATAACCTCCGACCCATCGTTATAGACGGATCCAACGTAGCCATGAGGTACGCTAACTTTATATTCTTTTATGTTTTCCCCTAATGTGGAAATAAATAAGTGAATCGAATCAAATCGAAATGAAATTTGAGATCATTTCCTAAAGAATCGTGACTGAATAATTGTGAGGAATCAATTTAATGGTCAAATTAACTTGCACAATAATGTATTTGTCTTGGTAAAATTGGTGCTCATGTAAAGGGACAGTATGGAATACAAATAGTAAACAAATAAATATGAACAAATACAATCCACCACCGTGAAGAGTATCACAATACATACATATATCCAATATTTACAGCAGTATACTGCAAAAGTAGGAGACCACCCTTCATTTTCCAATGAGGAGTCAAGAAAAAGCAGAAAATATTTAAATATTTTTATAAAAATAAGTTATTTTTTACAAAAACCTACACAGAAGCCTCAACAACATATCAGATGTTTCAGTGTTCAGTGAGTCACTTTTTACCTTTATTCCAGCTTCCATTCTTTTCAGGAGACTCACTTTCAGTTCCTCAAAGAATCTGCAGACACACCTCCAAAGTTCAGTCTTAGAAGCTGGTTGATCATTTTCTGAAGTAATCAAACCCATTCAGTGGTGTTGAGGTCTGGACTCTGATGTGTCCGTCTCCTTTTCTCAGTGAGGTTCTTCTTGACATCTAGAATGAGGAGAGAGAGAGTGAGAGAGAGAACAAAGGAAGGATGTCTGTCTATCACATATTTTTATTAAAATAGTGCTCTTAGTCAGTTCTAGAACATATTCGGCTCCAGAGCCAACACATTCACATCCAGGGCTGATTCTAGAAGACAAGTAGAACACTTGATTCCAGAGCTAGTTCTAGAACACACTATGTCCCAGTGGGAATTCTAGAGTACAGCAAAGTCCACAGAGAATTCTAGAACACACTCAGGTCCAGAGCTGGTTCTGGAAGACATTTGGATCCAGAGCTAGTTCAAGAACACACTAGGTAATTCTAGAACAAATTCATTTCTAAGAGCTTGTTTGAGAACACGTTCAGGAGAGGATTCTCAAACATATCCTGTTCCAGACATAATTCTCGGGACATATTCAGATCCTGAGTCAGATCTAGGAAAAAACTTGATTATGGAGCACGCTAGGTCCCAGAAATAATTGGTCCCTAGAACAAACCAAGTTCCAGAGAGAATTCTAGAACATACTCAGTTCCAGAGCGGTTTCTAGATCAACTCCAGAGAGAGTTCTAGAACAAACCTAGCTCAAGAGAGATTACTAGGACACACTCAGTTCCCGAGTGGTTTATAGATCCGGTTTAGAGAGGATTCTAGAACAAACCCAGGTCCAGAGAAAATTGTGAGGTTCTTCTTGATCAGCTACACATCCCTTCAGACCCACAACGCTGAGTCGTCTTCCCACAGTGGAAGGATGGACAGAAACACCTGTGGATGTTTTCAGATCTGAAGCAGCTTGATTTTCTCCTCTCTCTCAGAGATGAAAGCTTTAAGTGCTGTTCATCTGATGGGGGCAGTTTTGGGGTCTACCAGGTCTTCCAGGTGGTTGTTAGGAGCCCTGTTTTGTTGAACTCTGCTTTTTTCACTTACTTACTTCTTTCTTATGCAAGTGAATTAAATTTTATCTAATCTCCTCAGAAATATCTCCTGAAAAATGAATAACTAATACCGAAAGACAGTTTAACGGGTCTCTGGCTGAGTGGATTAATAAATGACATACAGTATAGCAGCAATATGGACTTCAGGGAAAACACTGAAATGTGCAGTGTTCGGATTTTCCAGCTCTGAAATTTAAAGAACTGCTAAAATCATTTCATGACTAGAAGGTGTTTTTAGTGGAAAGTCCCCATTACTTAATATACATGTTATGTTCAGGTTTTGAAACTGTAACAAATAGATTGTATACAACACTGAAGAAGTCTTAGGCATCTAAACCCCATTTATCTTTGCACTAACATGTGGTTTTACTTGTAAACAATCATATATCATTAGAATAAATGCAAAAAAAATATAGTAAAAAGTAACAAGAATTTCTTATTTTCAAAAAAAAGCTGGTTTGAAGAACAAAGTTTGGTTCTAGATTTCTCCTGAACGCCTCCAGCCATCACGTTCCATCAGCAGAACCTGATTAAATTTAGTGATTTATTGATTAGATAAAGCAGGTATTGGACAATAACTACAAATAAGACTGGGCTTCCTCAAGGAAAGAGCTGGAAATGGTTAAACAGACATTAATATACATAAAATCACTACTGTATTAATATTATAGGTGGGGCAAGAAATTTTCACGATACACAAAATGTTACGATATTTATTTTTTCAGACTTCTGATCAGCTGGAACAGAGATAAAAGAGCCAGTAGTGCTAACACAATGATTTTTATTCAGTATTTGTCTCTATATCCAGTTAAAGAGGACTAATTTTGCTCTCTTTGTAATGAAACATGCAGTAAGTCAGTGTTTTACAGTACAAGTACTGACAACATGCACATTATTTTCAAAAAAGTATATTGTATTGTGACATAATTCATCACGATAACGATATATTGTCATATTGGCCACCCCTAATAATATTATTTACATTTATTTTAATATTAGTGTAATTCTAAAGGAAATAAACACTTACCTTAGATTTGCACCGTACTGTATATGGTAAAAAATTTTTTAAATAAATATAAAATTAGTAATTTGAGTACAAGGCAAAACAGCTTGAGTAGGAGTGCAACAAGTGGTAGGTAAAATGATCCGGAACGGTTTGACGTTTGTTTTCCACTTTTGTAAAGTCCGCCCACCCACAGAATCAAGCTGACCATCCTTGAAAGGGAGATGTATGACCAACAGCTGAGCTCGGGATTCAGTTTACTAAATATATCTCTTTTTTTTTTACAACATACTGACATTTAGAGCAGTTTACTCAACACTAAATTTGGGTTTTCCTTATTCAAACACTTACAAAGCATTTGCTAACCAGATGATTCATGACTCAGGCCAGGAAATCTACGATATTGCGTTTAGTCTGATGCCTTATGGTAAACAGATGCATAAATGTGCCTGAAATGTGACTTTGTGGCTGATAAACAGCTGTTAGTGATGTGTTTTTGTGGCCTCGGCATGCTTGTGAACAGGTTCAGCAGCATGAAGGTGCAGCACTGCCCCCAGCAGGTGGGACGGGGAAAAGCAAGAGGGGTAGATTCCACATGAGAAGGAACGGTTTATTAATAAAATTGAGGAAAACGTGGAATATGAGTAAGACGACTGGTCAAGTTGCCAGATTTTCCGCTATTGCAGGGCTTTTAAGTCCTAATCCTGAGGGACCACTCAGCTCTACTGCACTGCAGCTTCCCCTTCTCTGAAACGCCACACCTGAGTCAGCTCATCAAGGGCTTAATAACCGTCTAACGTGTTATCGAGTGCGTTAAAGTAGGGAAAATATTAAACTGCGGTGCAGACGTCCTCCTGGACCTCTCTAAAGGACGCCGTGGTCTCGCTGCCCTGCTAAAAAAACCCACCAACACTGTTAGGAGTTTTCTATGTTGGTTCCTGATAGTTTTGTTATGTGTTTTGGCTTTTTTAAAGGGTCATTCTACAGAAATGTCCACTTTTCTGTCTCTCCATAGGAGTCACTGGTGTGACTGATCCTCACTGGTGTTACACATAATAAAGGAAACATTTTTAATGAACAATGCATTTTACAAAATGGCTGCTACAGAGCATCAAACCACATGTTGCCAGTCATGGAATATCCACTAAAATATGTAATTTAATCCATTTGTTTTCTATTTTTTCACAATTTCCTCAGAATGAAGTCGGTCACACCAGTGACTTCAGCTAAAAGCTTCATATGAAATCATGAGCTAAATGAGAAAATCTCTGATAACTGAAAGACACAGTGGACTCACCATGAGCTTTTCTTCATAGATCCTCAGAAAACAGGTAAAAGGAAGTCGAGTGATGTCATCAGTGTGACTTTTATTTCAAAATAAGAGATTTTTTGTTACGCTGTAACACCAGTGACATGACTCCTGGGAACAACAACTTTCATTATATATTTTATAATATTTATTTGTTTTCTTTATGTCATTTACATCATATATTTCATAGTCATGTAGAGATTATTGCAGTTAAAATGGCAGAAAAACATGTTTTTTACCTCAAAATATGGCCTCAGCCTTCACACATGACTGTGAGGACGAGCTCTTCTGTGGTGCTTGGAATTCTATGTAATTGATTTATAGACCAATATTGCTAAATTGAGGCTCAAGAAAGTGTAACTGTTAAAATAACTTATTGCTTTAATTTAAAATATAAATAAATTGTAACCCTAACATGTTTTTTTTTATGTGTAATATATCTGTAGGTATGTGTATATCCAGCTAGGGACACAAAAATGAATGTTTCTGTAGAACAATATAGAGGATTCAATGGTTTAACAGGTTACTGATGGCTGCTTCTGAATGCATTTGATCATTTTGTAATGGGATCTATAGGTGTTCGACAGGAAACTGGTGGTCTCTATAGGAAATCTTTAAGCCAATTCCCATTCGTTTTAATCGTAATGGTCTTTTTTCAGCATGGTGTTTTGCTCATTTTGCAGGAAGGAAGTAATTTATCATAGCTTTTCTACCAAATAGTCATATAAAACCTCAAAATGTTGTTTTTATAGCCTTTTACACCATTTAAAGACACGCCCTACAAAACTACCTGGAATAAAATCTCATATCATTTAAGCTAAATGTGCATTTCTGGATGAGACTAGCTTAAAAATGTGTTTAACATTTGTCACAGTTTCTTGCATCATTTTCAGAATTTATTTCTTGTTTAGGTTCATCAGTGTTTTCTTACTACAATACCCAGCATGCATTACACAAATCTGTCTTACAACAACAGAGAATCCCTGTTGTGTCAGCTAATCCTGGCTGCTAGCCTAGCTGCTGAGCTACAGGCTAATAAATGCAACCAAGCTAGCATTAGTGTAGCTGCTGGACAAAGTAGTAAGACATACCAGGATTCTGTCTTTATTCAGCACAAAATTAATGTTTTTACACTTTTAGCAAAGAGATAAGCAGCCAAACTGAGGTAACTTAGCTAGCTAGCCAGCTCGCTTGGTACCTTTAACTCTTAGCTTGCTTTCCTCCTCATCTGAAGGGTCATTTACAGGTACCGCAGTTACTGCCAGCATTATTTCTAGCTTTCTGCCCTCTGTGTTAAAAAAAAATAAAAACAACCCCCAAAATCCACCCAAAGCAGTTGTATTTTTTCAAAATTCCCCTCCACCTTCAAGATACATCATCAGAAAGGGGTTTTCCTAGATTTTAAACTGGAAAATCGGACTCTAGGCACGTTTACATCGGATAGTGTTGTTTAAAGTTTTTATTTTGACTGGAGTGCTCCTTTAAGAGCCCTTTTCCCTTCTCTGTTCTTCACATTTTCGAGTTATTGTTTTGGAGATATGAGGTTGACACTATGCTAATTCCAAATCCCTCAGGTTGATCAGTTTGAGGCTTGAAGAGTCACAGCTGAGCACATTTTAGGGTCCGTCCTGATCTAATATAACACATTCAACTCCTAATAAGTGTTTTTGGGGCTGATACTTTGCCTTTCAGCAGGATTGGCCGATAGCCGAGACTGATGTAGGGCGGGGATGGTCAACAGCAAAACAAATATAATATGAAAAATGTAATATAAACATGGTTTCACATAGCAACAAAACCTGTGAATTTTAAGATGTTTCTCCAGATTCACCCTGAAGACTGTTTTTGCATTGTGTGTGTGTAGAATGCATGTTAACACAGTCACAGTGAGATCTAGCCAGGTTAAAGTACAGCCTCCCAAACTAAGACCCCCAAAATAAACAATCAGAGAGGACAATTTACCCACGTACACATTCAAAACAATTGTTTTTATGCACAGATTCATCAAAACTAGAAAAGTATAACTACAGATGTCGTGTAAGAAAAAATGTAATTTTATTGTTCTGATATCTGCCAACACGCTTTTCACTAATCATATTCATTTTGATGCATATATTTTTATGTATGGGAAAACATAAAATTTAGACAAAAATGGATTAAATGTGTTTGTAACAGACTTTCAACAACTGTTATAAACTTGTCCATCAGTCTGTTACAGTTAACTCTGCCTATGGGCTGAGCTGTAATATACACTGATCAGGCATAACATTCTGACCTTGTTTCTACGCTCATTGTCCATTTTATCAGCTCCACTTACTATATAGGTGCACTTTGCAGTTCTACAGTTACAGACTGTAGTCCATCTGTTTCTCTGCATACTTTGTTTGCCCCCTTTTACCCTGTTCTTCAGTGGTCAGGACCCCATGGACCCTCACAGAGCAGGTACTATTTGGGTGGTGGATCATTCTCAGCACTGCAGTAACACTGACGTGGTGGTGGTGTGTTAGTGTGTGTTGTGCTAGTACAAGCGGATCAGACAGAGCAGTGCTGCTGGAGTTTTTAAACACTGTGTCCACTCACTGTCCACTCTATTAGACACTCCTACTTTGTCAGTCCACCTTGTAGATGTAAAGTCAGAGACGATAGCTCATCCGCTGCTGCACAGTTTGTGTCGGTCATCCTCTAGTCCTTCATCAGTGGTCACAGGACGCTGCCCACAGGACGCTGTTGGCTGGATATTTGTGGTTTGTGGACTATTCTTAGTCCAGCAGTGACACTGAGGTGTTTAAAAACTCCAGCAGCACTGCTGTGTCTGATCCACTCAGACCAGCGCAACACACACTAACACACCACCACCACGTCAGTGTTACTGCAGTGCTGAGAATGATCCGCCACCCAAATAGTACCTGCTCTGTGAGGGTCCATGGGGGTCCTGACCACTGAAGAACAGGGTAAAAGGGGGCTAACAAAGTATCAGAGAAACAGATGGACTACAGTCTGTAACTGTAGAACTACAAAGTGCACCTATATAGTAAGTGGAGCAGATAAAATGGACAACGAGCGTAGAAACAAGGAGGTGGTCTTAATGTCATGCCTGATCAGTGTATTTGCACTCGCGCCACTTCCGGCTGAATTGTTCACAAACGCTGGGAGCTGGAAACAAAGTTTGTGTTTTAATTTGTAGCAGAGATGTGTGGGCTGCTTGTGTAAGAATATTATTAATGCGCTCTCCCCAATACAGACAGTGAAGGTTCCAGTCAATTAATATGTAAATAAGTTGTTAAAAACATCCTGATTGGGGTTTGGGTGAGGTGAGCCGGTACACGTGCACAGCAGCATGCGGGGGCGGCTGTGCTCGAGCATGTGTGAGTAACTTGGTATCTGTGATGCTTTGTAGCCATGGAAACAAAGAGGTTTTCTCGTGCCTGGGCATCCAGCTGGCGGTTGATTGGTTCCTGGAGAAAGGACACAAAGACATCACCGTGTTTGTACCAGCATGGAGGAAAGAGCAGTCCAGACCAGACGCCCCTATAACAGGTGCGTGTTTGGCTGTAGCTTCGACTGTGTGGGGGTGTTTTCACTTGACAGTGTAGTAAAGAAGGAGCGGCCAATATTCAGCTGTTCGGTGAGGGTCTACACGGGGGGCTTCTTAAAGGGGAATTCCACAGATTTTTCAAAAACAAAGTCATTCAGAGTGGTTTGGTGTGAAATGGTTCAGATGTCTTTACAGTGGTGGTGATAGGAACCAGGGGTCGCCATGACTACAACACAAATATAGACATTTTATTTACTATCCAGAACCACCAGTGAACCTACACGAGTCTTCTGAGTTTATATGGAATGTTGATGATGGCGTTTAAGGGGTTAAACAGTATGTTTTATAACAGAATCTACTTAAAACTATCATAAAACAGTGTCTCAGTCATCAGGCAGTGAATTCATTTGATGTAATAACTTTCTGTGAGGGAGCTTTAGAGGTGGACGTCTGGTTCTTATCACCACCACTGTGAACAATTCTGACTCGGTAAGTTTCTCTAGAACACAGCATTTCAGACCAAACCATTCTGAACGACTTTGTTTACTCAGTCTTAACCAGGGTTGCCCAAACTTTTTGTCAATAAGGGGGCCGAGGGCCAAAATGACAACAATAAAAGATTTAAGTTTTCAGTTCAATTCAGATTTCAATTTTTTTCAAGTTTGATTTTTTTTTATATTTTTCTAAAATATTATTATTTTAATATTATTTTATTAAAATATAACCTTAATTTTTTAAAAAATAATTTTTAATATTAAAAAAAATATTTGTACATTTTTATTGTTGCAAAAAAATAAAAATTTAAAAGTAAAATAGGAATAATAATTTATATATAATATAAAAACATGTTTGCCAAACAAACATTTTTGCCTTCAGGCCACACTTTGGGCCGCATTGTCTTAACCAATTGCCTATGCAGAAATTTTGAAATATTTATGGAATTCCTACCCGTCCTAGTTATTGCTCAAACTGATCACCATGCATTCTATTTAGAAAAACATATATTGCTTTGTATTTAAATGTAATTATATTTGCAGATCTATTTCTGAAAGTGAATGTGTGAGTCGTGTGCAAAAGTTGGAACATTCCACATCCTCTACAGAGAACACACTCAAATATGGCATTTTTTCTGCCATATTTCTGCCAACTTTAGTGCACAATTTCTATCTGTTTGATATGTTTAACATGTTGGAAACATAAATATGTAAAATGTGGCCAGTAGAGGATGTGTTGACTTATTTCCACTTAGAAAATCAACAAAACATGGAATTTGACCAGGGATGTCCAAAATCGACTTTTGTAAGACTTTTATAACCATAATGACTGCTATTGTGAATCGACAAGTGCAACAACACGGGGGTGTGTAGGAAGACGAAATGTTGGATGACGCCTCTGTGTGCAGATCAGGAGATCCTGAGGAAGCTGGAGAAAGAGAAGATCCTGGTCTTCACCCCGTCTCGTCGTGTCCAGGGCCGACGGGTCGTTTGTTACGATGACCGCTTCATTGTCAAGCTGGCCTATGATTCTGACGGCATCATCGTCTCCAATGACAACTACCGGGACCTGCAGAACGAGAAACCGGAGTGGAAGAAGTTCATCGAGGAACGGCTCCTCATGTACAGCTTCGTCAATGACAAGTACGCTCACGCCGTTGCTATGGTGACTGGGTTTTCTCTCTTGTTTTCTTTCCGCCTCTTCTTCTGCACGCGCTCTCTCTTGCGCTCACCAGCCCAAAATAATCTAGTCTGAATGTCTATTATTATTTGAGTTTGACATGTTAATGACGTACAGAACTGAGCAAAAATCAGAGACCGTTAAGAACATGTTATTCATTTTTCAGTGTCAGGAAAAAAAGCAGAATATTTAACAGGAAATTTAACACAGAAACCTCAACAACTAAATATCAGATTTTTCAGTATTTTAGTGTGTCCACTCTTTACCTTTATTCCAGCTTCCATTCTTTTCAGGAGACTCACTGTTAGTTTCTCGAAGAAACCTGCAGACACACCTCCAAAGTTCAGTCTTAGTAGTTTATGATTTTATGGTTTAGCGTTTTATGCTTATCACAATCCCAATTACAAATTTAGACAAATTTATCACATCTTAGTTGTTAAGTTTCTGGGTTCTAGTGCAAAGTGTTCTTCTGTTTTTTTGTTTCTTTTCAGTTTCTTTTCAGTATTTATTTTCCTTTGATTTTTGCCTTCCTTATGCAAGTGGGTTATCTTGTATCTAATCTCCTGAAAATATCTCCCGAAAAATGAATAACTTGTACTTAATGTCTTGTTTTGACTGGGAATGTAATAAATGAAGGTTTTTATTTGCACAGTACCGTATATGCATTCAGACCTGAAGTCAGTCCATGTTTTCTTACTGGTTTGCAGATTTATGCCCCCTGATGACCCACTAGGCAGACATGGTCCAAGCTTGGAGAATTTCCTGCGGAAGCGACCCGTGGTACCGGAACACAAGAAGCAACCGTGTCCTTACGGTCAGTACAGCAAAAGTAGGAAATGACGTCATATGTTACTCTATTATTAAAATATACTTATAAAGTTTGAATTTGAGTATCCGTCACTGCACTCAGTATGTTTTGCTGTCCCTTTTATTCCTGTTTCATCTCAGGTAAGAAGTGCACATACGGTCACAAGTGTAAGTACTACCACCCGGAGAGAGCCGCTCAGCCCATGCGCTCTGTAGCAGATGAACTCAGAGCTTTCGCCAAACTATCTGCTGTGAAAACCATGAGCGAGGGTGCTCTTGCTAAGTGTGGCACCTCCGGCACCGCTGCCAAGGGGGACGGTTCGGAGGCCAAACGAGTGGCGCCAAAGCGGCAATCGGACCCGAGTATCCGCTCGGTGGCATGCGAGCAGGAAGAGCGACTCTGTCCAGCTAGGAAAGCCGAAGCAAATTCCGTCCCATCCTTAGTGACGGCACTAAGTGTCCCCACCATGCCGCCCACAAAAAGTCATGCGGCCGGTGCCCTGAACACTCGGTCAGCTAGTAGCCCTGTGCCAGGGTCACTGCACTTCACCCACAGCTCTCTAGAACACACCAGCAGTGTCCAGTATCCCCCTATTCTTGTCACGAACAGCCAGGGGGCATCTGTGGCATACAGTGAACCTTTCCCTAAGTACGATTCTGTGGTCAGTGATCACGGCTACTACTCAATGCTCAGTGATTTTTCCACCATCAGCTTGGGTAGTATGCAGGACAGCTTCTGTAGCCTGGAGCAGCCAGATCCGACAGGGATAGGGGGAGGGTATCCTGAACGAGCCTCCAGCATGTGTCCCGAACCTGGACGGAGCCATTCTTCGGACTCTTTCTCTTCCTACGGTGGAGAGATGTACTCCATGGAGGGCAGTCTGGATGACAGCATGAAAGGCCCACAAGCCCAAGTGCAGTCATCTGCGCAGACTCGCTTGCAAGCATTTGCGCATGGTTTCCACCACGAGGCCTTGACAAGGGTCCAAAGTTATGGCACAGACGAACCCAAACCAGGTCCACGCAAGCAGTCCTCAGCTCACCTTGTGCCCCATGCGCAGCATCCTGTTGTAGGAGCCCGATCCAGCTGTCCGGGCGACTACCCCCCACTTTCCCAGAACGTGATGCCTTCGTCTGGTCCGACACAGCAAGGGAGATCCTTGGGAATGACCCGCATGGACAGCATCTCGGACTCCCGTCTATATGAGAGTAATCCCCTGAGGCAGCGCCGACCGCCTTTGTGCCGGGAGCAGCATGCAAGCTGGGATCCATTGCCTTGTGGGAATGAACCTTACGGGTACGGCGGTTACGGACTGACGGGAGGACTCATGCCGTGCTGCGAGCGCGTCATGGTCCGTAGTATGCCGGAAAAGATGGAGCAGATTTGGAGGTCTCCCTGGGATACCCCACCAGGCCCACCTCCAGCAGTGGAACCTCAAGAACGACACCCAATCCCGGAGCAGCAGTACCAAACTTACCGCAACCTCTGCAATATCTTTCCAGCATACGTAGTCCACTCAGTCATGGAGAAGAATCCTCACATGACCGATCCTCAGCAACTAGCGGCAGTCATCGTGACAAAACTGCGGTCCTGTCATTGAATTTTTGGGCAGGCTAAGGGAGGGATGGAAAGATGCACAGTGGAAATGTGAAGATGTCTGGATGGTATGACATCTTGAGCATTTCCGAAGTTGATCTCAGTCCATGAAGTTACGGCCAGTCACTTGAAGATAACAGTCATGTATTTTTACCTCTATCTAGGCTTCTTGAGTCACTTTTTTGGCATTATCACCTTGATTAGCAGCATGTTCTGGGACAAGCCATATTTGATAATGGACCTTGTACCCAGACTCGAAACGATAATCCTTCCACTGGAGAAAGAGACGCATATTTAGCCTTTATTGAAGAAGGGATTTCTTTATGTTCAAACCATTTAGCTTTCCATTTTGGCCTGCAGAAGATGCACTTATGCAGAAGGAACATCTGGGTCAACAGGTTTCCGCAGTGTCAGAGCGAGAGTGAGAATCTGGGATCAGCTCCTCTTTGCAAGTATATAATTATTTTAATATACTTATAGAAGGACGTGAGTTGCAAAAACGGAATAGCACTCCTAGACCAAGACTCTGAGACCCAGATGATGTTGTCCAGCAAGTCCCTCAAGGAATACATCAAGCGATAGTAGTTCTACGATGAGTAGGCAAATTTTGACCAGGTTGTGGACAACACAAAGGTGAATTCTTAGCAAGAGAAGTCTATCTGATCAGAAACGATCTTACACAAATATGAGTACAATTGCGTATTCACTTGCACCAGTGTAAATATTGTGACAAATTTTTTTGCCTTGTGTGTGAACAGGTGAACTTTCAGAAAGGAGCGTGAACTCTTGAGTACCTCAAAGCATGAACTTTGAACTTTTTGAACTTTTATGGCCTTATATCAGTGACCTCACCACAGGTGTTAATGTGATTGTTTTTTTTGGGTGGTTGTGAAGGTCACCGTTTGTGTTTGGTATTTATCGGCGAGCACTGGCAGTATTTAGAGCAATTACGTTTTATCGATGCTACATTTCCGAGGGGTAGTATTCTGTGTGGAACGCCACATACCTGCCAAAATAACGTGCTATTAACCCTCCTTACTCACTAAGCCATTTTAAAAGATCATTTGACGCTGCTCAACTAAGGCCAAAAAGATAATCAACTTAGAGATATAGAAATTTTAATGTTTCACAAATGCTAGCTAGCAGCTAGCAGGTTGAGTGTTTCGACCATGTTAGAGGTGTTTATTTTGAGGTGTAATGCTAGACGCTAGTATTGTGCAGTAACTTTACCAATGCTAAAGGATTCTCCAAGTAATCTGTAAGATGTTTACACGGTTTTAAAGCTACAGTCAGGTTATTTTTGGTAAGGAATTCATTTTTGAGCCGAGGAAGGCTGCAGTAGACTGCATTTATGCTACGCCATTCGGAAAATATTTTGGAATGGCGAATATTCCTTCAGGAGATTATTTGGAATCCAGTATTTTCACAAGTAAGCCTTTTTTTCGTTAACATCTGCCAATTTACATGTAAATTTAGCATTTACAGAACGTGCTGATTATAGCTTTAAACAGCTCTGAATCCATGCATGAGACTAAAATGAGAGCGCTACACTTAATTGGCTCATTAGTCAATTAAGACTCATAATGACGTAATTGTAACTTAATCATAGAGTAATGAAATTTGTGCGTTAACTAAGGGCAGGAGGGAAATGCGTCTCATCGGCAAAATGCTTCTGAAGAGCATCTATTTTCTGATTTGTGCTGGGAGATAGCACCTCTGCCCTTCTCTGTATATTAGCATATCCTTAGGAGAATCTTGTTGAATGAATGTTGCAGACCCAGAGACGTTCTCGGTGTCTGGGTGGAAACTTTAACTCTTTTTTTTTCGGTTCTATGGTTTTGTTTTTGTTTTCATGAGCGCAGGTGGGGCCCTGAGGGGTTCTGTTACCGCTCGTGGGAAGGTGTGACACACTGCCTACCTGTTTCTCCCTGTGCGATACACACACACACGGAACACCAGGCTGTCGTTGGGTTGTTTCTTACATTTGACTGACAGGTCGCTTGCTGCCCTTCCCTCTTTCACCATTTTTTTGCCCTGAACTAACTTCCAGCTTCTACCCCAGGATACAAATAGGACAGATTTTAGATTACACCTGTATTTGCTCTGCAGAAGAACCCAAAACAAAACCTGATTGAGCCGTACTAATGCGACTAACAGTGCTAGCTAGCATTGCTTGCTTTAAACAGGTTCTGTTTCAATGCTGCTTTTGGCATGTCCTCGCCAACTTGGAATCGCGTCCACATCACTGTGTAGTTGAGAAGTGGCTTCTTCGGTCAGGCGCTCGGTTAGGTTATCCTCAGTTACCACTTTCTAGTGCAAAAACTTTGTTTGGCATGTTTGAACATAGTAATGTTAATAGTGGAGTAAATCTCAAAAAATTCCTTAAAAACAAATATAAATATTTGAGTGTCATAAGCAGATCAAAAATAATTAATTTAGTTATGTTATTGTTTTTTCTATGTTACCCTTTTTATTATATTATTAATGTTTCCCCACATCACATTACCTCAATGTGTCCACATATGTGTTTCTGGCTAATGAGATAAAACTACAAAGCTCTATATTTTGATATAAATATGGCTACTGCTCCATAAAAAACATTTAAAAATTAACTGGAATATTTAAATTAATTTTTAACATCAACTTCCTCACCAATTCATAATGTTTTTCCTTTTCCTTTAAAGTATTTGGAGATACAACACTGACAGCGAATATTATTGTTTATTTTTTTAAATAGCTTTTAAAACAAAATACAGACTGTGGAAAAATCATTATTTACAGATCTATTTTCAAATGTTCAACTCTTTCTATGTTGTGGTGACGAAAATTTGATCACTTGAAGTGAAAAATATTGAATTTAAAATCAATTAAATCATTCATATTTATTTTTAATTTATCTATCCAAAACAGGAAACGATTTTTTTCAAATTGGGTCCTAGTTTTTGTCAGGTTCAAGAGAATAACCCAACTACTTTTTGTGGCTATAAACTTTGATTTAAAACCATGATGGATTGCCTTGTCGCTAGCTGTGTAGCCTTTCGCATGCTAACTAGCAAGCTAACAAAGTGAAGTTGATCTATGATCTATCAGCTGTAATGCACAGCAGACGGGCTAGTTTGCTATATCAAAACCAATATGAACACAGCAAATTAAGTGTTTTGAAGTATTTTACTGCTACGGCTTACAAACAGCTCTGTGTATGAGGGTTGTGGATCACATTGCAATGATTTCTGGGCAGGTTCTGCTCCCTCACCCCTTTCAGGGCTTATCTGATAAACTTTAGTTGAGCTGATGAACTAAACTGAAATGAAATGAACTGGTGGGACCAAGTGGACGAGGTCATGCTAAAACTGAATTGAAACAGCTGGACAGTTTATTGAAAAATCAAATTTACCCACAAAATGTAGCCAAGATATGTTTGGTGACTCAAGTTTGCTTCGTTAGCTTCAAGGCTAATGTGGCTAACATAGGCTAACAGGCTTGGTAATGTACACTTAACATTAGAATGGCTAAAAATGGACAAATTTAACAAGTCTATTTAAGATTACTTAACAACTTGACGTGGTTTGAGGTGAGTGACTTAGACATGCAGTTAGCTCGATGCTAATTTGAGGTAAACGTTGATTTCTTGCTAGCAAGTTAGCCTCACAGCTCCACAAGCAAACTGCAGACACTATACTTATCTGACTGCATTTGGGGTAAGACAGGATGCTTTTATCAAACCTGGGCCGTTCGTAAACGTATTTTAAAGGAATTTTAGCTCTTTTTTTGTCCTTCTATGCTTCTATGCTCCCTCAGGATCCTCAGTGAGATTACTTGAAACTAGGAGTGTGACAGAAGAAGAAAAAGAAAAGGTTCTAAGTTCTGTTTAGGTCCATCTCGAGATACTAAAGTCAGCTTTATAAGGTAATTTCCCTTTTTTCTTTTTGCTCCTAGCTTCTACCTCCCTTCACTCGCAGCAAGCTATCACGCCTCAAATGTCTAGAAACGACCTTTGCTTGTTGATACAAATTGTATCTATTTCTTGATTGTAAAAAAAAGAAATTATGAGCTGTACAGTATCATCTATATACATATATATAAATATATAGTTATATAAAAAAAGCTTAGTTTTATTTAAAAGGATAAAGAGACATTAATGCCATAATGTTAGTGACACTATGTGTCACTAGTGTAGCCCATACAGAAGGCTTCTTTCCTGCCGGGCAGACATCTATAGACAGGGATTTCTCTTTCTCTCTCTTTCTCTCTCATTCTGTCCCTTTCCTCCCTCAGCTTTACCTCTACACGGCGCTACGTGTGATGTGCTAAGTGAACTAGGGGTGCACGATATATCAGCGGCTTATATATCATTCGCCGGTAAATGTGAAAATATCATTATTGTTATTTTCGGTCCGATTTCGGAATTACAGCCGATAATTACAGCCGATAATTACAGCCGATAACTTGGCGCCTCATCTGTGGCTTTCCTGTTCACTGAAATGGATAGCATAGCATAGCATAACTTTACATTACTCTGCCAGTGTAGTAAGAGTATGTGCTAAATACATAAATGTTTATAATAATCGTCTTATTTGGCTATATTTTTCGATTAGAGTTTTCACACCAAGTTTCACATCAAGCTCAAGTTAAATGATCATTTATCGGTATTGGTATGGGCTGTAAGTCTCAGACTTCAAAATCATTCATTTAAGATTCTTCTATTTCGTAATTATAATACGAAATAATTTTTTTCATCATTTATGATTCAGAAATATTAAAAATACAGCAAATTCACAAATCTGTCTGGAGCCTGTTTACACAGTAGTAGATGTTTTGTATTTAAATTTTTCAACTGTAGATTATCTACAGATGCTTTAATTGCTTTACTGATCATTTTCAACAGTGAGTGTTTTACATGCACTTAATAATCCGATCATAATCTGATTTCTGCAGTTATCTGATTATTCAAGTGGTCATGTAAACAGCACACTCTGATTTCTTAGATCAGATTTAGGTGTATAA